TACAAAGGGGTGTAGCTATATAGAAGCTCCACGTCTCAACGTTGGTGAAGCAGGGAGATCCTCAGCCATTTAGCGTGATTACTGTATTGGGCTAACCATAGTCCTGCAGACATAAGATGATTGACAAAGAGAGTGAAGTGCTGGTAACCTCTCCTCTCAAAACGATGACGACAGAAGATACACGACCCAAGACAAAACCATGGCACCCATTCCGTAGATTAGGAGTTCCTATGCGACTCTCTGTGTGTGTATTGATAGTCACAGGAGTCGTCCTGGTGCATCACAGCAGATGCACCAGCTGCAATGGTGGAATTACTGAAAAGTGAAAAGAAATAGAGTGAAAAGAAATAGATAAAATAAACACTGATGTTATGGTTGTGCAAGGAACAGGCACGCCAAACTATATCTGGTCATTAGATTTGAACACTGGTCCGCCTTTGAGTGTCCCAACAACATTGCTTAGCAAAATAACAGATGTGTTAAAAAAGCCCAGACCAAATCCAACAAGTCAATAAACTGCATGTAACTTTGCTATTTGCGATAAACTGCATGCACCAGCGTTTGTTCTCAGTAGCATTCCCACTCTGTTGCGCACTCATGAGGAAACACTGTCCGGTAAAACATAAGTTAAGCTCTCAGTAAAGAGGAAGTGATGACAGAGAAATGTCAACATTTGAATGAAATATAGAGAAACTTGACATTAGTCTCTAACAAAGAACTCTGAAATTCTCTGATGCAGCAACAGAGAAATGTACATGCATGTAAAGTTAAAGTTTTTTTCAAAAACATCACACCAAATTTCCATGTAAACACACCGAGACCCCAACAGTTTGGGTTAGTTGTAGGTGTCCATATACGGCCATAGGGTGAACCACGTAAAGTCTTTCAGAAATTGAATTCCGCTCCGACGTCTGCAAACTACACAATCTTTAGTTCATAAAAAGGAGTTATATTAAGCTTACAGCAAAAAGTTTGTCGCAAAAAATCCTGCCCATTTTTATAACGAGGCATTTTATATAGAACTAGCGTCTTCAGGGCGCAATCAGATTTTGGTGCGCGAGAGGTGGCACGGTCGACACGTGACCGGACTACACCAATAGCAGCTTTTGATAAACAGAAAAGCAAGATGGCTGCCTGCTGACTTTCATCCAGCAGTAGCAAAGAAGAGAAACACTCACCAAAAATGAGTTAAAAAATGAAATCTTCAGGACACAACCAGTGCTGTATGCACATAGCCTCTGTGAAGCACAAAAAAATTCAGGATTTCACACTTGCACAGCGGAATACGTACAAGAAGAGTCTACAACGGTGGCTTGGGTTGAGGGGTGAGTGCCGATACGTAGCTGAAAACTACAAACACTGCCTGGATTTGGAGTTTGAAAGCATTCCCGAGAACGCTGCTTTCCATCCCACATGCTACCGTAGGTTTATTGACAAGAGTGCAATTGCAAAAGTGAAAAGGTGTCTCAAGCGTGAGAGAGAGGAGAGGATACGGAAGACCGCTCAAGAAGTGAGGCCATCCCATCAACATCGAGCAGGACGACTCCGTGTCCGACAAAGAAACTTAGACCCAGGTCAGACCTGTCTATCACGAGCCCTGGCCCGTGCAAGAATAATATGTAAGAAAAAGGACAAATACATCGTAATGCAGACCTTAAAGGAGTGGCCAAAAACCTCAGCTTGTACATAACACATAGGGATCAATGTCACTGTGTTACTGTAATGGAGGGTGTACAATCTGTTCATGCTGTTGAAGACCTGCAGTGTGATCATGAAGAATGTGACACAAGGGTGTTTTTGCATGCACAGCATGCTGCACAGGAGCACACAACTGTCATCATTAAGAGCCCTGACACTGATGTGGCAGTCTACAGACTTACCTATGAAATTAAATGTGTACTATTAATATTATCATAGCATGCAGCTTATATTTTTTCACAGGGACGGGCAACAAGACACGCATCACTGACATTACCAAGGTGTCATCAGCTCTCGGAACCAGTATGTGTTCAGCCTTGATTGGCATACATACATTCTCTGGGTGTGACTCCACAAGTGCCTTTTATGGTAATGGCAAAGAAGGACATTTTCTGCAGCATGTGAGAAACCTTAAGAGTACCTCAAGGCTTTTAAAAATCTGTGTGCTAACTTTAACTTGGACCACTCAACATTTGCACTACTTTGCAAATAGTATGCCACCTTTGTGATCAGCCAGCTGCTGAAAATGTCAATGAGGCTAGGTACAAGGCTTTCTGTATGGCATCATCAGCCTTGTCAGAATTGTCTATTCCCCCTACAAATGATGCCCTCCATCAGCACTGCAAAAGGGCAAATTATCAGGCTGCAGTGAGGTCCTGTGTCAAACAAAATATAGGTGCTCGATCACCTGCTAGATATGGTTGGCACCTAGAAGATGGAAACCTACAAGACAAAAAATCCAGCCCCTGACAGTGTTTTGCATGTCATACACTGCAACTGCAAGGAGAGTGCCTGTGAGACAGGTAGGTGTTCCTGCGTCTCTGCAGGACTCTGTTGTACAGACCTGTGTAGGTGTTGCAACTTTCCAAACACAAAGGAAATCGAGGAGAAGGAGGATGACGACTGCCCTGACACTGACAGTGAAGACTAGCATGTCATGTGTACCCTGTTGCCTCAGAGTTGTATTGCAGTGGTTACATTGTTAACATTACCATTCATTTTCTTATGCTGTTTTGTATTGTTTTATATATTGTACATATGTACATATGTTTGAATAAAAAGTGTTTTTTATGGTTGATCAGTGTTGTATTTAGTTAGGAGCGAATAATGATAAATGAACAATATAATAAACAAATGGTCCTTTTCATTGATTACTTCCTTTTATTGATCGAAATGACTTAACAGAGAAAGTTCACCTTATCTTCTGCCCCCTTTAAAAGACTTTTGGGAGAATTAATGTTAATTAAAACCATGGAGGCAGCCATTTTGCCGGAGTGTTGACATCAATCAGCTACTCGAACCGTACCACCGCTCGCGAACTAAAATATTATTACCCCCTGAAGAAACTAGTTCGGCATAAATTTCGGATTCGGATTTTTTGTGACAAACTTTTTGCTGTAAGTTTAACATAACTCAGTCTTTTTTATTAAGTTAAGATCGTGTAGTTTCCAGACGTCGGCGCGAGATGAAACAATAATAGGGTTCACCTTATGGCCTATATGAATGTGATCCTAGTTGGGCTCAAGTTTTAAAACCTTATTGGTCTCGGAGAAAATATCAACGTTTGCACTATGGGTGGCTCGACGTAACGGATCTCCGATACTGCAACTTTAAGTATCTGCTAATACCAATATCCAGCAAATGATAGTGTCCCTGTTTTTTTTATGTTTGATCCTGAAATTTTGTAGAATATCAGACCAATACCAACCCCAAGTATTGGATCAAGCCATCCCTATTTTGCATTAAATACTGTATATAAAAACTGGACAGATCAATCCAAGGCCTTCAGCAACATCACATCTAACTTCACTCCCATCAGTTAACCATTCCTATGATTGTAGGGAGTCAGTCACTAGTTCCAAGTTGTCTTCTATAGAACGTGATGGACCTAAGAGCACAGTTCTATGAGGAGGATGTTAACTGATGTTACAATGAGGTGAGAAGTAGCCTCTTGTGGGAAGACTCATATCCTTAAAGCATCTCTGACCTTTATATGACATTCAGCCTAATGACACTTTCTGTTCTTAAACACAATTAAGGGTTTACACCAGTGAAATAAAACAAATGTTCTTCTGTCCGGTGACATTAATGGTCACTCATCAGCCTGCTTTTGCTTGTACTACTTGTTTCCTCTTAAATCCCTATGATGCCAATATAAACATTCAGTTCATTATAGTTCTACCTCACATTTATTAGT